CTGTCATTGTTAGGCATGGTTGAATATTTCCTTAACACGATTAGTTGTCTCTTTCCTGAACTGTGTGTGTGTGTATGTGGGGAAGGGTGAGAAAAACAGGGTTGTTTTATTTATTTAGTGGGTTTTTCATCATGGAGGTCTAGCATATATTTACCCTTAGGATAACTCTTGTTGAGGGCTGATGCTTTTCGATGCTGTCTCCAAGCTGGATAGTTACGATTTAATTCAACTGCTGCCAATTACCATAAAACAAAAACTAAGAAATTATGCTTATAACATTCTATTCTCCAGGCACTAAGTCGGCTACAAAGACGTTCATTATTATTATGGACATTAGTGTTAAGTGCATGCATTAATATTTTACTTCTGTATTCTCAGGGTTGAATGATAGTAAACACTAATAGGCAGAGTACTGAGAACTCGAAGAAGGAGTTTTTCATTACTTGTTTGCCTGTATGCTCACTACGTGATGGGCACATGGACCAAATCAATCACTTCAGCCTGCTCTACAATCCATTTGGATTGCTCCATGATTAATCTGGCTCAGGTGATCAGGAGCAGGGAGGAAGACAAAGGAGTAAAACAGTGGTTCTCAACCTCCCTTTAAATACAGTTCCTCATGTTGTGACCCAACCATAAAATTATTTTCGTTGCTACTTCATAACTGTAATGTTGCTACTGTTATGAATCGTAATGCAAATATCTGATATGCAGGATGGTCTTAGGTGACCCCTGTGAAAGGGTTGTTCGACTGCCAAAGGGGTCGCGACCCACAGGTTGAGAACCGATGAATTAGAGCTTCGGGGCCCCAGCTATGCCCAGAGCAGTTCCCTTGAGCCAACTGCCCACAGCCCAGGTCTGCTTCTTAGAGTTGGGACAACATTGCAACAGCTGCTGGTTTAGAGACCATGTCCCCTGGCTCCTGCATCTGCCCTCTGGTTAGAGTTGTGTGAAGCGGAAGACAATTTGGGGCTGATTAGTGTCCTAGGGAGACATGTAACTTGTGTTGCTGGGACCCAAACAGCAAGAGTCTTAGCGGCAAACTCCAGCCGAGAAAAGACTGAGGAATTGTCTCACCTAATTACAGGGAATGGCCCTCTTTGTGTTTGTGATTCGGTACGGTTGTCCGATCGCTTTTCTCCATTTGCTGGCTCAGGCCACGCTGGAATTGTGCTAATTAGAAGAGAAATGGACAGAGTGATCCTGTCAGCCCTGGTTACTGGTGGGGACAAAGCGGAATATTATTCTGAGGCAGTGTTTTGTGAGGGCCCTTCTTCCTGCTCTCATTAGGAGGGAAGGTTCCGAATGCCTGGCCTGGCTAATGGAGCATTGGGGTGCTCATGTGCTAATTAACAGGCTCGGCCAGCACTCGCCAACCGGGAGCCTCATGGTTGCACCAGGTGCCACCTGAAGCCCCCACCATCCCCGCTCATGAAGAAAACATGTTGGGCAAAGGGTGGGAAGGCCAGTGGCCTCTTTATTTTTATTTTATTTTTGTTAATCCTCACCCATGGATATTTTTTCCATTGATTTTTAGAGAGGGGGGGGAGGGGTAGAGACAGAGAGAAACATTGATGTGAGAGAGACACATCGATTGGTTGCTGCTTGCACATGCCCCGACCAGGGCTGGAGATCGAACCTGCAACTGAGGTACGTGCCCTTGACCTGAATTGAACCCAAGACCCTTCAGTCAGTGGGCTGACACTCTACTACTGAGCCAAACTGGCTAGGGTCCGTGGCCTCTTCAGGCATAATCAGGGGTACATCCCCACAGGCCCCAACGTCACTAGACAGGCCAGTCAGAACTTACAAACTTGGAAAGACCACTGTTTGCCGACGCTCTGAAGGTGGGGGTTCCTCGGGTGAAATGGAGCCCATGCGGGGCTCAGGTAGTCCTGCCGCTCTCAAAGGATGAAGAAAACAGAACAGGAGAACGTAACCAATGCTAGGAGATGGAGTTTGTGCAGAAGTTGAGAGCTGGTAAGAAACCATGTTATCTGACCCCTGTGACCATTCACCTTGGCCCATCTGCCAATTTCCCCACTTCCTGCTCTGCCAGTTGACCTTCCTGTCATGCTTCAATCCTGGAGGAAATAAAAGGGACCACAGCATTCCATCAGGAGTGATGCTGCCTTTATTACAAAGCTCCTTCGGAAGTCCAAACACCCTCTGGAAGCCACAGGGGCAGTGGAGAAGACACTGGAGCTAGAAGCTAGCTCTTAGAAGACACAGGAGCCACAATAAGCTGCAGCTGGAGCACCCAAGCCAAGGAGCAGATAGCAAGTATCCACTTTTAAAATATGGTAAGTGGGTAACAAAAGGGAAAGAAAAATTAATGATGGCATTGTGATATCAATACAACTGATATTCTGTGAACTTTCAGGGCTCAAACAGTGAAAGAAAAGCGAAGCAAATCAGCAGAGGCCTCACATCAAGAGACTGAGGTGTGCAAGAAGCAATGAGACTGCTGGTGAGAAAAGTTTTAAGAATTTAAAAATGTGCCTCGCCCTAGCTGGTTTGGTTCAGTGGATAGAGCATCGGCCTGGGACCGAAGGGTCCTGGGTTTGATTCTAGTCAAGGGCACATGCCCAGGTTGCTGGCTCGATCCCCAGTAGGAGGTGGGCATGCAGGAGGCAGCTGGTCAATGATTCTCTCTCATCACTGATGTTCCTTTCTCTCTTTCTCTCTCCCTTCCTCTCTGAAATCAATAAAAATGTGCTGTAAGCACCAACCAATATACTGCAAGTATGGTATTCAGAAAACACACTTGTGGGCAAATAATAATTAGTTATTGGAAAAATAACCTCTAAAGATTTAGACCAGAACATTCACACACTGCCCCTTTTTAGTAAGTCAGTCAGCCAGCTATGCTTTCCTGAACCTATGGTCCATCCAGATGTTTTCTTGAAAATCAGGGATGAGCCAATGATGCTTAGCAATTAGCTTTTCTTAAAATGGAATGTTTTCTCTTAAAGGGCATTGATAGTGTTATTAATGGGTGACAGTAGTAGTACTGATTAAAACTTCGTCTTCTTTAGTTCTTGAAGCAGAGTTGAAAAGGAACTCCTACTAAGGATTTTAGTAGGTGGCAGATAAATATTTGTTCTCAATCCATCCTATTTAACAAGAAGTCTGCAAATAGATATATTTTGAATCTCCAGTTCAAATAAGACATTAAAGAAGAACTAGATGTGCAGGAAACATTGAAGAACTAGATGTGCAGGAGGCAGCCAAAACCTGGAGGACTTATAATTTAGTAGGGCAATGAGGTACGGGCTCAGAACACTTCAGTGTCAGGCGGAGTGTGGTAAGTCACAGGCTGGCCTACATAAAGGTTGTAGGAATGCAGGGGGCAGGGTTATTTCCAGTGGGAGCATCAGGGGTTTATAGTAAGGTTAGGGCTTAATATGTGCAAAAAGGATGGGAGACTTTCTAGGAACTCAATGGCATGGGCAGAGCACTCAAGTGAGGGACTGGGGAACAGAGACTTCATATGATCTAGAGGAAATAAGCCAACAGGAGGGTTACCAGGGTTACATGCAGAGAGTTTAGGGTGCCAGGGTGAGAGATCAGGCTTTATTAGTAGGCCTGGGGAGGAACTACAGGTTTTTAAGTCTCCTTCAGGGAGTTGAGTGGTAATGAACTAGAAGGCAGGTAGGATAGACTGGAAGCTGGCAGACCAGGCAGTAGATGACTATAAAGCCCCACACCACCCACTGCCACATGAGGGGAAGACAGCAGATTCTTTGTCATTATAGCTGCACTTTCTGATGAGGTCTATGCTTTAAGTATGTAACTTGGCCCTTTGAGGAAAAACTCACTCTCCTATAAAAGGGACATATTTATTAGGACGACACAGAAGACATTATATACAAAGTACAACCTTCCAACACCCTGAAATACGTACATGCACACATAGTACATACATTTACATTATCAATATAAAAACACAACATTAACATTTCTGAGGATGACAAATATAAAACCAATAAATATCACAATTCTAAAATATCTACTTACATTAAGTGCTGGTGACTACTATGACAGTAAAAGAAAGAGTCAAAGCAGACCAAAAACCAATTACATAGGTTCAGGTTACAAACAAGTTGGTTTGGGGGAGGTATCCCAATACGCTCCATATATTTCTTAATTTCCCCGTTTGACGTCATCAACTCTCAAAAGGAAGAGTTTGCTATTATGCCACTATTTTTTTTGTGCATATGCACTCTTCAACCACATTTACGATAAAGGAATGTCAATAATAAGCTTCACTTAAAATCAAAGCCTCTACAGCAGGGGTCCTCAAACTACGGCCCGTGGGGCACATGCGGCCCCCCGAAAACATGTGTTTTTTTACTTCAAAATAAGATATGTGCAGTGTGTATAGGAATTTGTTCATAGTTATTTTTCAAACTATAGTCTGGCCCTCCAACGGTCTGAGGGACAGTGAACTGGCCCCCTGTTTAAAAAGTTTGAGGACCCCTGCTCTACAGCCCAACCTTCTATATAGCACCCCAGCAGAATGCTTCCGTCCCATACTCATCCCTTTTATCCTGTGTTCAATTTTTTCCTTCTTGTCAGTAAGTAAAATTGCATGGATGGTCAAATGGCACAAATGAGAGAAAAATCCAACATTAATTCTAGCTGGGAAACAAGGCACATGTTATGGTTAACGGAACAACTATTAAAGTGAATAGTGCCGCGCCCTCGCACAGACTCAGGGCCAAAAACCTGACCACGATTTTCCTTGTATCAAAACACTATCAGACTACTGTCACATGGATGTTCTTTTCATAAAGTTCAGGACACTCCGTGTATTTTTCAAAACGTTAGAGGCTTGTAAGACAAAATATGGAGAACATGTGTAGTCACTACAACCCATAAGCTAGATTTTCAGGTTTTAACAGAGACACATAATTGGCAAACACTCCATAAGAGTTATATTTAAGTCAGGAAATTCTCTTTTCCTTTCATGTGTGTTCCTGTCCTATGGGTGAAATATCTGACAGCACGCACATTCCTGTAAGGTCCATCAGAGTTTCTAGTTGTTAATTAAATCAAACTCCTCCAGTCAACCCCCTTTTCCTATCTTCAGGCCATACTAACTGTCTCGCTTGAATCTGTAACAGCTTAACTAGAACTCAAAAGTCCTTTCTGTCACCTTTAAATTGGTCTTGAGGTCTAATGCAACTGTGCACGGCCTTTCACTACACAAACTACTCCCAGGAGGGACTTGACATGCAAGGATCCCCTTCTCTGGAGTCAGCATGGATGGTGGGAGCTAGGAGGTAGGGAATGGGAGGCTTAGGGTATGGGACTACCATGAGAGGTGTAGAATTTTAAAAGCAGGCATCATTTCTAGAAGATTCTGGTTTCTCCAGCTGGGGATTCTTAGAACCTAGTATATACTGGAGAGTTCACAGGTCAACCTGCATGGTCTGGTCCAGAATCTAATTGGTCTCTGGGCTCCTTGCATCATAAATACTCCCTAAGAGATCAAGTACAACTCATGCAATCACTGTCACAACGGACTTTGCCATCACTGAATCAAATCAACTGTAAGATCCTGGGGCTCCTGAATCACTTCCAGAAACGAGAAAGCAGGACTTTGACCTTTAAGAATGATATGCCCTCTGGTGTTACCAGCATCTGAGGTGGAGATGGTCAAAGTCTGGAAGCTGACTGAATAACTGCATTGATCCTTGGGTAGAACAGATTCTTCTCTTGCTGCCGAATGTCCTCAGAGCGCAGAGTACCAGGAACAGGGGAGAGGGTCAGCCCTGGAGGAGCACCCTCCAGCCTCTCGCCAGGAAGCAGTGAGGTGCGCATCATCAGAGCTGCACTGGGAGCGGAGCGTGGTTCCAGCCCCTGGGACATCCCGTCCACAAGCTGGGCTACTTCTTGGGTTTCTCTAGAATGTTGAGGAATTTTCCCCGGGTCATTTCTCTGGCTGAAATAAAGAAGCAAATGAAAGATTAATGAAGAGCTAAAATCTGAAAAAAGGATCATAGGAAGATTTAAAAACACAGAATTAAATTGTAAACAGGGGACCACAACAGAGTCAATCACCACAAACCTTCAAAAAGAGGGGGAAACAAACCACTCCTGGCAACTAAAACTGTAGAGTTGTTCTGAAGTTGGTAATTGCTATAGGGCACAGGCCAACGGGGGAAAACATCATCCATCAACCCTTACAAAAATCATCATGGAATTCCCCCCAAACCTCTCTCTCTCTAAAGAATATAACCTAATACTCACATTCACTACCACAGGGGTTTGCTCTTGGAGGCTAAAATCCAACCATGGGTTGCTGGTTTCTGGACATTTATAATCTCAAATCAGAATTAGAGACCATTTACCCCGTCCCTCAGTGGCAGTCCCTGGATACTGTAATATAACAGGGTTTATAGTCCCTCAGTGCAGTTCATCTGTGGATGGAGTAATAAAGTAGGGTTTATAGAACTTCGGTCTTCTCTCTCTTGGCATTGTCAGTCCTTAGATATTTAATACAGTCAGGCAAGGTTTATGTGTCTTTCTCTGACTTTCAGTACCATCAATCTTTGAATGCTGTAGTTACAAGGGGGTTTATATAGCTACTTTCCTACATATGAGGCTCTGAAATGAAAGTAAAACATTTCTCAATTACAAGGGTCACTGCAGAAGCCCCCGGTTTAGCTGTCAAGCAAATCCTCAAAAATCGTATGAAGCCTAAAACGCCCTTCATCCTTATCCCCACAAGATCATCTTTTCAGATCTCTTAAGTGGATTTAACATGCTGAAAGTTTCCGATGGCTTGCCCGGAGGCCGGAAGTCCTCTGGAATCAAGCAGTGGACACATAGCAGGCTGTGCCCTGTGGCCTCCCAAGAACATGTCTCCATCTTGGCCGAAAAGTGAGGTGGCCAGGGAGGCTCCTGCCGAGATGAGAAGGACCTTTACTCTGACCTCCTCCTGCCTTTCTCAAGCCCAGAGCAAATGGTGCCAGGTGAATGGGCTCCCACTCTCCCCACCTAAATCTAAGTTCCTGGTTACTTTGTATAATGAAGAAGTAAAACAACACAAACTCTGTAACTACAAGAAGGCTTCTGGTAACTGCAGTCTATATATATTCCCCATCTTTCATAAGTTCCTGAGCTCCAACAAAGAGAAAGGAAATCCCATTAAGTAGGAATGGAAGTCTCAGTGCGGGTCTGGTCTCATGTGCCCATAGCCCCTCCCTGTCTCAAAGCAAAGTGACCGCTCCTTCCTTGGTGGATTTATACCAACCCTCTACATACAAAGTTCCTATCAGATCTGCAATTACTTGTTTTCCTCTGCTGAAGTATAAAAATAGAGGGCAGAGACTGTTTTATTATTCTTTATTCCACCAGCACCTAGCACAGTGCTAGACCTAGCTAGCATCTGCTGAAAAACGTGGGCTGGATGAATGATGATACCAAAGAACCAGAACCAAGTAGGACAACAACCAAGTTAGTTTCTTCCCTTCCACAGGCAAACAATAAGACTTGTTAGTGGCCCTTGGTGCTCCATTCTCTATATTGTGGGGTTCTTTTAAAATTTACCTTGTTTAGCAAGAAAAATAATTTCCCTTGATGGAAACAATGCAGATTAATGGAGAGATGGAGGTGGGGTGGGGCGAGGACAGACAAGGACTAACTATCCTTCACTCTGTAAAATTTTCTAACCACTTTGCTGTACATCTGAAACTAATACAGAATAATATTTAGCATGACTTCTTTCAGAGAACACAGGATTAGAACTCAGTTTAAGTTCCAGCTCTAGCATTTAGCAGCTGGGTGACACCAGGAGCTGGGTAGGAACCTCAGTTTCTTCATCTGTAAAATAAGTACATATTAATGTCACCTGCCCTGTCCTCTTGGCTATCCAGCAGTGAACTTGCTTGGTATAGTGGTATCACTAGTACAACACCTTTCAGAGGAAGGTAAGTAGCCTGCTGCTTCTCTTGCACTATTTCCCGAGTGAATAGACGAATTAACTGTGATAAGGGATAGTAGAATTAACTGTGATAAGGGATAGTAGTAATCTCAAAAATTCCACTCCTTGGGATCTTTCCCTCAGCCAGATCCTACAGATATTGACTTAGACTTTGGCCTGAGTGGGTCTCATCACTTTTTTCTGCCTACTCTCAGGTGCTTACTAAGGACCTGAAGCACAGCATCAAATGATCCTGCAACCTGGCTAGAAGCAGGTGCTCTGGAAACAAGACATGGGTAACACAAAACTCTGTTGGGTAAACAGAACCTTGTTCCTCCAATTCGGGGTCAGGAGCACTCTATTGACATCACTAATTATTTCTGCCTGCTGCCCTTCAGATTCCCCAATTCTTTATTATTTTTTCTCCAAATGGGAAAATGACCAAGATTTTAAGACTTAAAATTTAAAAAGATCCAATCTAGTCAAGGGATCAAAAGGATTTAACAGAAAAATAAATGGATATTCCAAAGTCTCTCAGTGGCAAGCTCTCCTTGAATTTAACCAATCCCTTTTAACAACCCCTTTCCCACTCAATCATTCCTCCCCCTCCAACCTAATCTAAGTATACAGAGCTGCAGGAAACCACAGTAAAAGTAGAAGTAATTCAAAAGACATCATCTTCTACATGGGAGGGGAGAAAGTTTTCCCACTCGCCAGTCCTATATAGGAGATATACGAATTTGTGACATAGCTGCTCCCTAAAAGAGGGCTGTGCCCTATAAATCACATCCTAAGCACCAGCCCCTTTCTGTGCACAGAGAAATTGCTGTGGGTCAGGGGCTGCTCCAGAGCACGTGCCCTCCTGTTCACTTGTCATCAGAGATGTTAACATCTCTGATTAATTCACAGAGCCCTTATTTGATTCCTCATTTCTTTATCCTTGCTCTCCTGCTCTGCTGCAGTGTGAAGATTCTTACCAACCTGATACAGTAATCACCGCCTGCTAACTGCACCCCCCTAAACCTAGTGAAATTGTTTAGTGATGCCAACCGCGCTTTTAATTTGCAAGACATCAGACACAGAGGTAATTTATACCAACATCTGTTCATTTTTGACTTCTGAAACAAACTTGCACATGCTGCTACAAAATCCCATTAGGAGTAGGGAGCCAGCCTTCTGCTACTATTCTGTATTCTTACACACACACACACACACACACACACACACACACACACACCTTCCAGTAGGGTTTAATATGTAAATGCACTTTACTAAAAAATTTCCGCCAAGCATTTCACGTCTCTTTGGGGGGGAAAACTTTAGAGATGTCTATGGTTTGCTTACAGAGGAGAGGAAGATATTTCTATTTCCCTCTGACTAGTGCCATCCCTTCTTCTTCTCAATTGTTACAGCTTGGTCTAATTCTCTTAATTAATGGCCAGGTAAGAGTATGTGCTTCTTAGCTTGGCACTTTCAACGCTTCCCTTCTCTCCTGGTCCTTTTTCCCTACAATGTGCTACAAGACAACCCTAGAGACAATAAAATTGCTAGAGAGAGTTTTCTCTAGACTCAATAAAATTTCTTAACCATTTTCTAATTCTGGATTAATTCTCTAGGATTACAAGTTTAGCAGGAAGGGAACACGCTACCACATTCTAATAACTATGCCAAGAGGGATCCACTGGTCACCAGCCACCACAGTGTGTGCTGTGCAGGAGAGAGGCATGACCTCCGTGTGGTCATGATTTACTACGGGCTCTCCTATGCAGTACAAGACCATAAACAGAGAAAGCCACAATAGAGACGGTCGCCATAGGGGGAACATGTGAACTGCTGCAGAGTGTGGGAGAGGGGACCACTTGTACACATTTACAGGCGGCAAATGGATACACCACAATCAACTTCCAGGTTTATGCAGTTTCCATTATCCCCTTCTAGTTTTCCTAGGACTGTCAGGTTCATGGCAGCTGTAAATACCTGGGCTTGCTCAGAGAGGTCAGGGCTGCAGGGAGGACTGCATCCTCCTTGCTGGGAAGGTGCTGTGTGGTTTAATATAATGTCTTCTTTAGACTCCCCAATCCTCCATCCTACATTTAGCCTTGCCTCTGGCTCCCTTTCCACGACGACTATCCCCAAACTGCCTTCTCTGCAGTAAATTTTCTGGTGGCTGGTTGAAAGAGAGTCAGTGGCACAGATTGATTTCTCACCGGTGAGGGGATGAGGGATTACCAGAGGCACCCTGGTTAACGAGATTGGGTGCGAATCTCTCACGAGACCAGCCCTCTCTGCCAGGGCTTTGCACCTTTCACCCATGACATATGGGTTTCATTACAGAAAGATTTTCCAGATTATAACTTTGAGGCAATTGCCTGATAAAATTCTGCTTGGCTTTAATGTAGGGAACAATGTAAAGAATAAGTAACTTTTAATGAAATGGAAGAAACTCATAATGTTTGGTTTTCAATTCCAATGCAAACTACTTTAAGTACTTCTGTGCCTCGATATAATTAAAAACATTAGCGAGGTGGAGAAGAGTTACATTCCACTAGTTCGCTCACATCCTGAAGTGCAACAATAGGCTGTCTTTAGGAGACTCGGATATGAATGGCCAGGGAACAAAGGAGACAGCATAACTGTGAAAAGAGCAGGGCTTTTAGCATTAGACAGGCTTAGACTTGAACCCATGGACCCTGCTACTTAACAGCTCCTATACTAACTACTACCGAGGGCAAGTCACCCAAGTCATCCTTTGTTCAAGGTGGGGTTAATACAAAGGTCACACGAGCATTCAGTAAATGGTAGCTACTGTATAATCATCTCTTTCATTTCAAACAAGTTTATGTAAGCCACAAGACACTTGATGGGAAAACTATCTAGGATTCATTTCTTTTTAATATTTTTTTATTGATTTCAGACAGGAAGGAAGAGGGAGAGATTGAAACATTGATGATGAATCGGCTGCCTCCTGCACACCCCCTACTGGGGACCAAGCCCGCAACCCAGGCATGTGTCCTTGA